TTCTGTCACCGATGGAGTTTTGGTTCCTTGCCGCTGTCGCCTCGCCCCTGGCTTGCTTAGTTGGGGACACTTAATTTCCAGCAATATTGTCGACATGATTGCACAGATACTATTTAAACTGAACTGGATGATGACATCACTGAATTCAACGATGAACTGCCTTTAACTGAAAAATGAGTGTTTACTATTGTAATTTTGCATTATTGACACACTATTTTCCTAATTAATGCTGTTCAGTTGCTTTGACACAATCTGTAGTATTGTTAAATGCGCTATATAAATAAAGGTGACTTGACTTGACTTCAAAAATATATAATTCTGATATTCTGATATCTGATATTCGCACAACAAACAACACAACTTGTATGTTTGTATTTTGGATGCACGTTATAGAATGATTTAACAAGATAACATAAATGTTGAAAGATGATTGGAATTACTCTGTAGAGACATGCATTTTTCCCTACATTACACATTTACAACAAATTTACATGTCCATGGTTGCATTGCAAACGTTTTAACAACTTTAACGACTGACTAACATACAGGGCACAACAATGCTGAAAATAATATGAAGAAAGAAATTGCAGTATCATCTGTACTTCTGGCTCTTTGAGTCTAGTTCTTTATCTGTGTTTAGTTTTAGTTTCCTCATTACTCATTAATTCATTGTTTAGTCTCATCTGTTCCTTGTTTTCTCCCTCAGTTAGCCAGTGTATTTATGTTTCCCTGTTTGGTTCAGTTCTTTGTCTGTTATCTTGTTATAAGGTTTGGCTTGCTGCACTCCTGCGTTTCAGTGTGGGTTTTGTTTTCATTTAATAAAACTGTGTAGAAAATAGTCTCTGAATGTGACGGAAGAACAGACCTAAAAACATGGAGCAGTGGTTCAAACCTCCTCTTCATCCATAGAGACTGGTTCCTCGAGGATCACGTGTGACTTTATTTGTTAGATCCGGTGGTAATGTCACATATCATCTGTGTATTTCTGGTGCTAGATTCACAAAATATTTCCTGCTGTTATGTTACAGACGTCATACTTTACTTAAAGCAAAATATTGGAGATCTTATATAATATTTAGGAGCTTAATAAACAGAAATCCCAGTGTGTGTGGGTGTACTGTAGGTCATTGAAATGCACCTTCTGTAATCCTTTAACTTTTAGCTCATTGTAACAATGCCGTATATTCAAGTGAAAAGAAACTAATATTGACCTGGTTTTTCAATAACATTCCATCCTCACCACTGAATGGAGGTAATACCTAAATCATTCAACAAAGTATGTGACTTTCTTTCTTCTGCAGAACATAAAAGATGCTTTAAAGAATGTTGGGGCCCAAACAACATTGAACCCATACTGGCTTTCATTTTATGGACAAGCTCACTTTAAGATGGTTGGTTTAAGTAGCCTTATACATTCCTTGTAATTCCTTAAACATCCCTTTATTATTAACCCATTTGTGCCCAAATTTTGAATTTTTGAGTATTTGAATGTGCGGCAACTATAGTTGTCAGTGGGCAGATATGTTGTACGCACCACTTCAATGTCAAATTTGAATAGGAGGAGAGCTTTTGGCATCTAACTCAAAATAACTGCTTTCAACAGATCAATCTTTATTCATAAACAAATTTATCATGCTTAAAAGTCGAAGAACATTCGATGCAAACCCCAAAAAAGTTGCATCTAGCTTATAATCTCTTGAATATGAAAACACAACAAATCCATTTATCTTAAAGTGGTGGAACATAGTGCAGAACAAAGTGCAGCCATTGAGTTGCCCCAACAGGGTATTGTGTATCAAAAAGTTAAATGAAAATAAATACATAAAAATAAATAGAATGAAGAAAATATTACATCTATATAATAAAAAAGGTATACCTGAAAGAAAATTACGCATTTAACTGTTTGGTTACCAACATTCTGCAAAATATCTTCTTTTGTGCTCAACAGAAGAAAGAATCTCGTAGGTTTGCAACATGAGGGTGACTAAATGATGACACAATTTCCATTTTTGGGTGAACTTTCCCTTACGTAAGCAGTTTTAGTATAAGTAGCCTACAAGGAGTACTGCAGTGAAGCTACAAGTAGTTTTATAAATGTACATAAACATATTTGCATATTATACTTCATGTCAATATGTAAAATATCACATATTTACCTTTGAAAAGCTATAAAATTAGCACTGAAAAAGGCACGTCATTTCATTCAGCTCCTGATCAAAGATGGATCTGCAAATCTCAGTTTTTCTTCTGTTCGTTCTCTTCACTGCAGGTACAAAGACAAATAGTGTTTGTAATGTTATTGAGTACAAATGCAGATTATTGATGTCTCTCTCTGTTTTATTACTAAAGGACACTCTCTCAGCTGTTATGAGTGCACGGGTTCTTGTGCGGTTCAAAAGGTAAAAACATGTCTCAGGGGATCTTCCAAGTGCATGAGTTCAACAACAGCAACACAATTTGGTAAGTCCAATATGATGGATCGAAATTCCCTGTTAACTGATGGAGATGCTGGTGTTTTTACTGGTGCTGCTTCACTGGAAATGTAACTTCTCACAGAACTGCTAATTTCCTAACAGAATTTACAATTGTTTTCACTGAATGTTCTATGTAGATACAACATAATTAACAATATAATTTAAAATTGAAGCCATATTTGAAATGAGAAAATGCTACATTTTGGTGTTTCTAAATACATTTTCTGTCAAAAGATGACAGAACTGTGTTGAACTGGTCTTTCCTGAATTAATTTTTGTTTTCAGGTGAAATCAGTGCTAAAGTGAAGATTAAAGATTGCGCTGCTGACTGTGCAAGTGGATTCATGAACATTGGCATTGGAAAGACATTTTTAGCGTGCTGTAACGTCAAAGATGCTGCAGGTATTGTGCAAAAAAATGTAAAATTAAAAAATAAAAAATGAAGGGCAACACTCATTTTACTTCCAAACGACAGGAGTTATTTCATTGTATGTTATATTTTGCACAGAAGATTATGCACAATACATGTTTTCCTCCTGTAGATCCCCCCAATGGAAAGAAATGTTACTATTGTGATGGACAGAGCTGCTCAAACATATTGAGTTGTTCAGGGAGTGAAGATCGCTGCTTTAAAGCAACAGGTGAGAATCTGGAAAAGACAAAAGTTGCTTTTAATCTCTCTGATGTTTGGGATCTCATACAGATCACATTAACCAATTTCCAGCTTAGACTAACCTGTATTTTCTGTCTTTTTATCAGGGACTTTCGAGGGCCAGTCAACAGTCGTAAAAGGCTGTCTCTCTAAATCTATTTGTGATGCTGCTACATCAGTTGGTGATGTTCAGGGCGTCTCGTGTTGTTCGGGGAACCTGTGTAACGGCGCTCAGAGTGTCACTCAGAGCTTCCTGTTCCTCTGCTGTTCTCTGCTCTCCTTCATCCTGCTGCACTGAATCCAGCAGCTCTACACATTCTACAATATGATCATGCTGTACAGATATAGAGCTTGTACTTTCTCTGTACTGTGTATCTTTGGTGTGTTGATATGATTTAGCTGTGACATTCTGATGTGACATTTTATGAATTAAAATACTACAATTAATACAGCCTGTCATGCTGTAAAAAGTCATAAATATATACTACAAAAACTGTTTTATGTTTTATTGTTTTAATTCTTCAAATAAAATTAAAATAAATAAATGATCATTATGTTCAGAATAAGCATGTTGTCACGAGTGGGTTAGGCAGAATCCACAAAGAGAACCAGTCCAACACAACTCTACATCATCAGCTTAATATGGAATGCCACACCTGACAAAATTAGAAATAAATCAAGACATAAATAAATATACAAAGAAATGTAAAAATGCAAAAATAAATAAATATATGTAAATAAATAAATATACGAAGTAAAAAAAATATATACTTTTATTTCCTTATTTATGCATATTTTTTTCCACATTTTTTCCTTATTTATTTCTACATTTATTTATTTCCACATTTATGTGTTTATTTACGTATTTATTTCTATATTTATTTATTTCCACATTTATTTCTACATTTATTTATTTATACATTTCTTTGTCCGTAGGGTAATGAGCAGGGCGTGTTTTACCTCAGGAATAGTAGTAATTGAACCAGAGTAGGTGAGTTGTAAGCTTTGAGGCCACAGTGACACTTTGTTGTGCCCAAACGAAATACAACAAGCGTAGCCTACATGACGTGCCTGTTGATAGTGGGATGAATGGCTTAGATGGGAAATATGGTCAAAATCTTATATCACGGGTTAAGCAATTAATTTCACCTTAACTCTATGTATACTACGGAACCCCTAAAGGGACATGTTGGTGGGAAAAATACTGGGTGGGAGGAAAAAATATTTTTCAAATCTTTTGCGTTCTCTCACAAAGCTTTTTTGTTCCCCCGAGAAACTTTGCATTCTCTCGCAAATTTTTTTTTAAATGAACTTAGAACTTTCTTTCACTTTGGCTATTATTTTCACTAGATCTCGTTTCTATTTATGGCCAAGACACAAACATACCTGCTTTTGTCATAGCAGCTGCAGAAGGTTTGAGCAGATGAATGATCTGAAACTACTAATATTAGGGTTAAACACTATACTTTTTAAAAGTCCTTTCGTCTATACAATCAAGTTTGCTTGACTCTATGTCAGAGAATAAAAATGAGCCAGGTTTGATTTATGAATGAATTTGTTCATTCATTCACAGAAAATCATTGCAATAATACTAATAATAATGCAAAAATAACATGCAGAAATATAAGAGGACACATCACTTCACATCAGTGCAGTCTGTTTTATTGCACACAAAGTTTTATTGCATCTTCATGGTGGCCAGCAAAATGACAACATGACCATCACAAGAAAACACAAAAGCCTGTTAAACTTGGGCCATTTAGCAATGGCATTGGAAATGAGTAGTGTGGGAGACCCGCTTTGATCACGAAAATATCAAGTACTAATTCAGAATTAGGAACTCATTATGAGGTTTTATCAGTGTAACAGAATTTGACGAGATTTGCCTATAATGCAGCTACACTTTAGGAGCGAGTGAACACTGACAGTAGCAGCTGAGCTGAAGCTTTCAGAATAAAACTCAAGCTTGCAGCTCCATCTAGTGGATAGAATTATTGAAACACTGTCTACACAGAAATGACTTGTTTGCCACCCTCAGATTTGAGTTTAAAGGGGTCATATGATGCGATTTAAATTTTTCCTTTCTCTTTGGAGTGTTACAAGCTCTTGGTGCATAAAGAAGATCTGTAAAGTTGCAAAGACTAAAGTCTCAAATCCAAAGAGATATTCTTTATAAAAGTTAAGAGTCAGCCACACCTACCTAAAACGGCTCGTTCTAACACGCCCCCACATATCTACATCACTATGTGGGAAGATTTGCATAACGCCGCCCAAATGTTCACGCAAAGAAAGAAGGCGTAACTTTTATTCTCGCTGTAGTATTGTTGCTGCCGCCATGTCGTGAAAGCACTGTGTGATTCGTTGTGAAAGCGAAACTACTTTGTTTGGCTTCCAAAAGAGGACGATATCGCTTTGTCATGCCTGGAGCTGATCCGTGCTGGTCACTGAGGAAATACATCAACTTTGCGCTGTGGATCGTCGGATCGGCTTTCACCGTGGACGAAGCGGAGTCCAGCCCGGGGTCGTCACATGTGGTTGCCTTGCCGCAAGCCCTCCGGACGCTCCTTCGTCGAATCCGCCGCCTCTGCTCAC